AGCTAAAATGTCAGTCGTGATTTTTAAATTTCTGAATTAGGAACCGGTTTTTTGGGAAGGAGTCAAAAGGAAAAAAATCTATTGGCTGTAAATGTATACATTTTTGAATGAAAAATAATTTTAGAAGATGAATAATGAACATTTATTAAAATAATAAACTTTTATTTACTTGACGTTTAGGGTTAGTTATAATTTAAAAAAAACAATATAATCTTGTATATATTATTAAACTATATATATTTTTGAATCCTTATATTGGATGCCATATGATGAAAATAAATGAACAAATAAAATAATTAATACAAATAGCCAGTTATACAGCATGCCATATATATATAAGCACGCCAAAGAAATATATTTTCACATATTAGAAACAAAAATTGTAAGAAATGTTATGTTGTTTTAACAAGGAAACCTTTGATTTCTAGATTTTCGAAAATTCGTAAGTCACGTCCACCAATACTTCAATCATAGGCTTAAATGATCAATCAGACTGTCAATAGTACCTCGGAATGTCATTCCGACTGACCGTGTAGGGTCTGCTTTACAAGGACACACTGACACAGACCGATTCATACAAGACATGGATACAACCCACATGATGGTAGGCTGAAGAAGAGCTTGATGAGGGTCTTCTAGGAATAACCGCAGATGCTAATTACAAGTCAGTAGGTACCGTCAGGTACCTTTTGTCTCATGTAAATTATCTTATATCATTTTTTTTAAAATTACATTCATAAGTATTTGACACGTAAATAACCATAAATAGTTACAAAGATAAGTCTAGTAAAGCTTTTATCTATGAAAAAAAGTTATTCCAAACCAAAAATCACGAAAATTCATACAGTTAATATCTCCATATCATCGAAATATAAATTGACAGCTTATAAGTTATATATCAATAGACAAGATTATCTAAATAGAACCTTTTGCTTCGTTATTTATTGGCATTTAAAACGATACTATTTAATAATCGAGGTATGGAAATAATCAAATATCTTATTACGTTTTAAACTTACGAGGTATCCTTGTATCAGGATTCATTTAAGCACTCGATGTTTTAACTTGTCATCTAGAACTTTTATATAAGAAGTTAAATAATAAAAACTAGAAATAGCTATTCAGTATAGCTATCAACTATTAAGAAAATAAACTGAAGAGAAGTTGATTGGGGTGTTCAGTGAAAAATACAAAGTAAAAATAAATAAACTATATTTATTTATATTTTGCCGACGTTTCGGCCAAAAGTTCAGAAATGATCTCACGAAAGGTTTAAGATGTATAAAAAAATAACATTTCGATAGGCACCTTTATTTTTATAAAAAAACAAATGAAGTGGACTGCTAAAATGTGCACGAGAGATTCTACCAAACCACAAGATACGGTCATGGTGTAAAAGACCAAAAAAAATTCTTCGCTGTTACATTTCCCCAACCATGTCGATATCGTCGTATTGGTCGTCGGTCACGTTCGACAGAAGAAGTCCTGTCCGAAGAGAGAGCAGCGGAGGATTCGAAAGGACACCGGACAGCAACATTGGATAACAATTCTAAAATACAATTTATTCAACAATATCCTGATGAATTTCCCGAATAATAATTTACTAAAAAGAAGCCGTAATAAGTTCAATTCTCATAGCAACTGTAGTAAAGTAACGTTGAGGTAAGTATGGCTGAACATTATTCTATTTACCTTCCATAAAATCAAAAATTTCAAGTAATAATATTAATCTGATGAATGAAACCTAAGTTCGTGTTGATCTTAATAATCTAGCTTCCGCACCCTAGACGCTTGCCGCGAATGAGATAAGGCCTAAGATAAATGTCTTATCTTGTATTTATTATCTCGAGAAGCTTATCGATTCAGGTATCGGTGAAACTTAATCCGAAGCGAAAGCAATCTATAAATTTACAAGATGGTTGTAAAACAATGAAGAGATTTGCATGAAATATTCAGAAGAAAAGTTCTCAATATTTTTGCAATTGCATCAGCTGTTGCTGAACACATTTTACTACCTCACTAACAAAAGCAGGGTAGGTCTGGGTTGATGCGAGAGGTTAAAACATTGTTTGACCTCAGAGCCCAAAGTGATTTGTCATTTAGGAATACATTTTATTCCGTGGCTACGAGAAAAATACATTTTTTTTTTGTTTTGAAAAACATTTCCTAGTGTACGATGGATAGGGTTCAAAAGGTATGAGCAAACCAACTATCTTGAGTGGGAAGTTCAAGATTAATTCCGTAATTAATATCAACACGCCCAGGCCGCTATACTCGACAATGTTAAAACGGGCAACACCTTAACACGGTCTAGCATCATAATCAAAAAGCTAAAATTCATATGACAAAAATAAAATCTGATATTTTATAATACAATTTTCATGAAATTGTAAGAGATTTTGCGGTTTGCAACAAAGATGGTACACAGTAAAACTTATACAATTGTTCAGAATAAAGCGGCTGTAAACTCGGTAGCCATTAAACACTTGGAAATAGGTTATAAGTCTTTGAACTATTTTCTATAATTAGTATATCACCTGCGGTCGTTAAATAGATTTGATGAAAATTTCAAGATGCTTCCATATTGATTTCTATTATATCTCTTTCACTGCTTTCGCGTGAGCGTGTAGCATGTCTTAGCAAAACTATACTTCAAAGTATTTTCCTGTTGAATTTATTCTTAAATAACAAGCTATAAACCTTGAAATAGGTGTAAGTTATTATAAAACCTATTAATTACGAAATAGCGAGAAAAAAGTATTTGTCAGATATTTTTTTTTAACATTTAATTTTCAAGGAGAAATTAATTCGATCTTATTAATTGATTTTTTAATCTGTTTTGGAAGCTGACACCTGGAATTTAAGAGAGGTATGCCTTCTTCGATTGAGTTTCGGCCAGAAACATTCCAGCAATGCCTGCTCACAATACGTCCTCCCAGGAGACTACAAGAATGCTCTGGAAGACTCTTAACAGCGTGTCCTGACACATAGAGGAACTAACGGCACACCAGGGGATCCCACAAAGACGAAATTGCATGGTTACTACGCGGATGGTGTCGACGTCCTGCCGTAACAGAACATCCTGTATAGATGCTCTGGAGTACTATTTAAAAATCACGGTTTCAGTTTTATTTAGTTACTTTCAGTCACAGTTACGCATTGGAAAAATTAAAAAAAAAAAAAAAAAGGAAATAAAACAAATTTATGTCAGAATAGTAATTAATCTAGAGGAAGCTATTATACAATGAGACACCATACAAATTTTTCAATTATGATTAAAAAAAAAATCTGAAACTTCTGTGAGGCAAACTGAAACGCAGTAATTTATCAGAACATATTCTTATCATTGGGCCCTTTTTTTTTTTAAATGATCGGTTTTTAATAATGAATAAAAATTTATAACGCTATCAAAATAAGTATATGATATGCCATATTGAAGTAACTTCAGAAGAAACATCTATAAATATAATTATCCCAATATAGTGGTTAGAAAAATATATTTGAAATTCCAAATTTGATATATTGTAATAATATTTTGTTTTTATTCGATTTCACAGTTTTACTTTATTTAATTTTTTTTTTTTAATTTTTAATGCTTCTTAACTACTTGGAATATAGCTTGGAAATTTCAGGTTTTGGTAATTAGCTTGAACCTACATAATGATGGGCGATACACGATTTTTGCATCCGTCTGCGGTCGGCTTCGCTACTTTTTAGTATAATTAGATACGCATTCTTTCTAAAGTAGTTGAATACGTGTTACAGAGAAATCGTAAGACACGCAAAACCTTTCAATGAAAGTAGTACGGAAAAATTACAGTAAAATCTGATAAAGTACAAGAAATGCGCCTGTGTTTGTATTTGTATATATAATATATATAACGTGTGATTATACATAACTTTAATAAATTTATAATTATGTATATAAATAATTTTAGCATGACTATTTTTTTTAAATATTAGAATGATTAATATCAACATTAATGTCTACATATATAAATTATTTCCCTTATAAAAAAAATACTGTTTATATAAATATTTAATATCCTTCATACTCCTTACCATAATATATTCAAGTGATTATAATGTTTTACATTATAAGGTTTATAATGTTAAGTAATAGAAGTACGTACTGTTTGTATAACTTAGCAATATTTAAATATATATCATACTCAATTCTTTTTTATTTTGTGATTTAAACATATGTTTTATTTACAGGAAATAATATCTTTTTCTGTTAACATTTTATGAATCATCGTCAACTAAATATCAATAATTCAGTTATTTAAGAATGCCAAAACTAGAAAACAAATACAATTTAATCGACTTTTTTTCCCATAAAAATTACGTGTAGAATAAAATTGTACTAGCCCTAAACAAAATATGTACACGGCATGTAAATTTTTAATGACTATCATAAATGATTATGTCTGTAATTAATTTATAACACATCTTCACTAATCGATCAGCTCGTAACCTTTTACACACTTCATCCGATTACATGAAACTTGCACAATTTCCTGAGCTATATCGCAACATATTCAACGTGTTCACGTTTGTGATCAATCCATACAGAATTTCTACATTGATAATATTGTAAAAAATCAAAATATATATTTTTCCACTCCAAGAACACTGAATTATTATTTTTGAATAAAAGAAAAATAAATTTGGTAAATCTGATGAAATTTCTATAAACGTAATTAAATATTTAACTTAAAACATGATTGTTATGTTTTTAGAAAATAATTGATTTAGGCATAAAAATATTACAAATTAAAAAAAAAATCGATTCAAAAAACTTATTAAAAGTTGAACCATAAATCAAAATCCACATTTAATGGGTTTCGGAAGGGAAAATGGCTTTTTTATTGTGGTAGTTATAAATCTTGTAAATATGATGTTCACAATTTTTTATATTTATAAGACTTTTTTTAAAATTAGTATTTATTTAATCCTGTGATATAATTGTTTAAAAAAAATAATGGTAGTTACATTACCTTAAGAGCACAAAATATGCAAGAATCCAACATGCAAGTATGTCCTGACAGTTCTCTGAAACTCCGCCTGAATATGTCCAGGTGCCAGAGGACCTACAATAAATAAATAAATTATATAATAAAATATATTATATTATAGATGCAATACATAAAAAAAAGAATATAAAATAAATCCGAAGAAACAAATTTTGTTTAAGACTAGGTGGGGCCCCCCCGACAGGTCAAGGACTTTGGTTCTGTTTGTGAAACCAGTTCACGCGCCTAACTTACTTGAAAATTCAACGCAGAACGCAACGCACTCAGGCGGCATAAAACAAACCAACTTAGGTTCGAACTTGGTGTAAAACAATCACAATTATATATCGCCTACAATAAGTAATAGATTTATAATAATTAGAAAGCGCTATAATACATAATTCATAGTTATATTATCGTGAATGACAGAAGTACGATTAGAGGAAAATGAAGGGTTAGAAATATAAGTATCGAAAAAATATATATCGAAAAAATTCAATGTTTTTTATCTTTTGAAAACAGCAGGGATGAAAACGTCGAAAAAGAAAAAAAAGAAATCTTTCGAGCATTTTCTTTTCTCTTTTCTCATTATCTTTGAAAGGATTAAAATATCAAATTAACAACTATATTACTTGCCATATAAACAGTGTCCATTAAAAAAAAAAGTGCATAAACATAAAAACATTTAAAAAGATGGAAGAAAATCAATATTTAATTGATTATTAAAAAAACAGCAAATGTTTTGCACTTGTCATTAAAAAGATTTATTACAAAAATAGAGGAAAAAGAATTAAAATTGCTAAACACAAAATTTAAAAAATAAAAATAAAAATAAAGACCAGAAGTCAATTAATAAGACACCTAACAAACTTAACAACTTTCATTATGAAGTAAACAGAAATAAAAAAAATATTACTAAGATATAAAAAAATAATTAGTTTTCAAGAACTGTAATTTTCGTTTTGATTGATGTGCTCACAGGTGAGAAACAGAATTGCTTGTGGATATTTTTATTTATTTTTTGTTTTTCAATTACTTTTTTTTTTTTTTAAATTGCATAGCAAAAACTATTATATAAAATATCGATATTTCTCCAACATCCCTATGAAGGATATTAGAAACTTAAAATTTTTTTAAAGGATTTTTTTAAATTTTATTAGACATACTAATTTCAATTAAAGGAAAATTAAAAGGATTGCAATCCTTGATAATTTGAGCTTTTAAGGAGGTATACAAAAATGGAATAGTAAAAAGACTTTGCCCATACACTACCCAGTGCTTTTAGAACGAATAAAAACAAATAAAAAAAAGCATCACAGTCACCGTTCACATTAGGATATTGTTGGAAATGCCACATTAAAATCTGCCATTTTGTTTCAAAATGGCAGACGATTAGAGGATTAAATAAAGCTTTGGAGTTTTGTTTTGTTAATTGTTTTAAGTATATTGAATAAGTTAATTGTGGTAAATATTCAAAATAATCCAAGATTTTTTTATATTTTTAATATTATTTTATGAGTAATTTTTTATGGGTTTAAGCTGTCCGAACTTTGGGCTTAAATTATTAGATACTTCAAAAAATAATTGCAGGTACTACTTGAATGAGACTTGAATACATTAAATATAACGGCTTGGCTCAGGTCCCTGGGTTCAAAAAGCGGAACCCATTCGAATGAATACGGCATGAATTTTAATTAAGGACGATTCCCAGGACGTAACGTTTTTCCCCCCAGGAAGAGTTTGGTCGATATGACTATAACCATGCGATACGGTGGAGCGTCTCGAGGAACAGGTGAAAAGATCAATAGTACTCTTATCTTAGCTTATCTGGCTTCGAGGGGGGAGGGGGGTTAGTTTGTTTGTACTGACTTACAACATAAGAAGATAAAAGAAAGGCTGCGGTAAATATAAAGACAGTAAAGAAAAAACAAAAACAATAGCGCGCATTTAAGTACCTGTTGTTGTTGAAGAAATATATATATATATATATATATATATATATATATATATATATATATATATATATATATTAGCTTAGTACCGATGAGCATAGCTTTGTCTAATAAGTGCTGAAATAGCCGGAAACGTCGAGTGGTTTCTTTTCATACAGGGACGAAATTAAGATGTATTTTGGTATCTAACGGCTATTGTACTATTTTTCTAGATGCAACGTATGGCTGTATTTTAAAGAAAATATAAAAGAAGTTTTATGAAAAAAAAAATAATTTCATATATTTTTATAAACATAGGTACTTACTATTTACCACTACAGATATGCAGTACATATACGAGTCTTTTATTTCAAACGGTTAAGTAAACAAGAATGTTTTTATATTTTAAATAAATATTAAGGAATATTCGAATATATTTAAATGAACTATGTACCTGGTAGAACTCATATTCAATTAAGTGGTTTACAGATCTTCTGATTCACTAATAATAAAACATTCAAATCAATACTCACTAAAAATCTAGGAAAACCTAACAACGCTTGAAGGTTGGTACTCGTTAACCAAATATATTTTGAAAGATTTACGAAAAAGAAAAAAGAAAGAGCTTAAGACCACACCAAATATTATTGGTATTAAAATATTATTTAATTACTTTTTGAATATATATATATAGATCAAATAGAAAAATAATAAAACAATGGTTGAGTACTTAAAGTTATAAGGGTTTATAAAAAAAAAATTTCAATAGGTATTAGAGGCTGTAGGTTCCAAAATACTGATTAATGAATACTGATGAATATAGCTGAATTTTCATTAAAATATCAGAAAACCATCTAAACATAAAAGATTTTAATAATTTAACTTACATCATACCTGATATTAAATCAAAGGTGTAAAACGAGAAATGAAGAAAAAAACTTAAAATTTAGCTAACAGCACTACGTTCACGAAGGAGGAGCTCAAATCTAACTGGACAATAACCGAACTATGCTCTCTTACCTGAACAGGTAAAAGTTCAGGTAGTAGCTGTAAGGCATGGAAACCTTTTCCGCCGTGAAACGACCATTCACTCAGACAACGCCTATAATTAGTGAAAAATGTTAAAAATTTGCTGTGTAACGAGCTAGGAATCCGTTTGGAGTCTCCGTGAAATCGGGTAAAGATTATTCGGTACCTGAAATAAAAACCTAAGTATATGTTCCAGAAAGAAAATAGCTTCCGGATGGAGAGGAGCTAGTGAAACAGAATAGGATATAAGGTAGATGGTAGTCAAAAGAATGTGGTATATATATATATATATATATATATATATATATATATATATATATATATATATATTGAACTAAACGAGATCTTGTGAATTGAAGATATTTTGAAAGCTGTCTTTTACTTTAAGTGGTCCATATTTGATTATGGACCTGGGCTAAATATTTAACCAATCACAACAAACGTATTGTCTATTCAAATAATAATGCAAATGAAACTATTAAGTGTAAATACATAAGTGAGAAGTTTTTATCTAAAAGAATAATTTTCTGCAATTACCAGTGTAATTGGAATAAGGAACAACATATCCACGCCTTAAACGCCAATTTATATATATATTTTTTCTCTTTCATCCAGAGTAATTGTTATTGAAAAAAAAAAAAATGCCCGTAAGCCAAAAATCAAATCCTCCATCCTCTTCTGACATGCGGTATGGTATACCAACGCGCCTTCAAGATACCAAATAAAAAATAATCAAAACTTGAATCATTTCGCAGCAAAATTATAAGGATGCTACTGGTCTAATGTTATTTATAATTTAAACATTATTTGTAAAGAGAATGTAATTATGATTGTACATTTTAGTCAGTGGTGCAGACAATTTTAATGTCAAATTATTAACATCAGCCTGAAACTTCGTAAACAGCTTAACTTGATCGTAACCTACAAATATTTTATTTACGAAATTAGATATAAGAAGCAAATACATAAGATGGGCATTAATGAGTTTTTAGTATTCAATTAAATAGACAAAGTTTGCTGATCTCCAGACTGAAAACACTCGAATTCCAAAAATTTTCGTAAATAAAATAAATTTAGGTTACGATGAGGTGAAGCTATTTACGAAGTTTCAGGCAGATGTTAATGATTTGAAAAATAGGGGTCTGAACCACGGACTATTTGATTCCGGCAGCTAAATCAGCTATATTTATATGGAATTTCTAAATGTCTAAGTCTCATGTTATATCGATTAATAAATGAATAAATCATATTAATCCTTAGAGGCCAAAAGAATCACTGAACTATAGAAAAAAAAAATGAAAAGAAAGAATAGTAGGAATAACTCAAATATTTTATCTCAATATAACAGGAATATATTTCGTAGAAACCATTAGCTAAATTGTAACAATGCATAAAGAAATTCATAATTTCTTCCATTAGTTGAATCCATTTTATTTAATAAATGATGTTTGAAAAAGGAGAAAAAAAACTATGCATTTTTTTTTTTAAAGTAAATAATGAATAAAAGTAAAAGAATAGAAAGAAAACAAACACCACGAAGTTTCCTGAAGTCATTCGTTATTTTTAAAAACTCTTTAAGAAGAGATAAGAACAAGTAAAAATATTACGCTATTCTAATCACCATGAACATAGATTGACAAAAGAATGACTTTCAAGTTTTGCAGTTAGCCAATAAATGAGTTACGAGTTGGTTTAACTTCTCTACAATATATATATATTTTTTTTAACTAGTAGTTAAAGGTTTTTTTATTTTTTTATTTTAGATCGTGTGATAACTTCACGATTTCTAACAATTGTGCTTAACGACAGCTCACTGAAGGTTAGAAATATTATGATAATATGGTCTTGCGCTGTGGTCATGTCGGAATTACATACATCAAGTATTTTCATTTCAAAGTTGAAGGATAACGAAAACTAAAGCGCGCTCGACTTTCTTTTCGGAGAAACTCATTAATCTTAATGACGGTCTTTCTCCTCATGAATGAGATGAGGATTATGAAATAAAAATCGCAATAAGAACAAACATATGTAAATATACATATACATTTATTGGAAGATAAGAACGTGAGCAATTTTTCCAATCTTAGATGATAGAAATGCAACAAGGATTACTGTTAG